CCTGATCCTTGTATGTAAGTTTGGTGAAAAAATCTGCCTGGTGGTTATGGAGATGATTTTTTAGCAACCAGTACTTTTGTTTTTGTTTTCCTGATTATCTCCCCTTGTTTAAGGGTCCCAACCCTTATTTAAGTATAAATGGTAGCCCTTTGGCCAAGGATACCCTGTGACAAATTTGACAATGATTGGCCAAGGGGTTCTTGAGTTATGGCCCATATTCTAAAAAGTTAATGCACACCACACAAATGGCCATAGCATTAGCTCTTTGAGCCTTTGGCTCAGAAGAGCTAAAAATGTAACCTATTCTCAGCACTCAGGGCCATTGAGCAGGGAGGGAACTTAATCATTCTAACAGCCAGTCACATATACTGTATACTTAACCCCTTCACTTCCGTACCGGTCAAATTGACCGATGGCGCGTTAAAACACGACTTCGCGAAAATAAGATCTCCGTATCTATTTTGTGGTAGCATGAAGGTATATAAGCTATATATCATCTTTTTGGAAATTTTCTCTACTTTTAAAATATCTAAAAAGATTATGTCTTCATTGCCGGTATTTAATCGATTTTACTATGTAAAGACAAACGAGACTTTTTGAAAATGGCGTAATTTTCCAAAGCGATTGCCGAATTTCCAGACGATTGACAATTTTTTTCCTGATTAAATTTAGAAGAAAGCATGGTATATTCGTAAAGAATATTTTCTTTACTTTTAAAATATGTAAAAATTATTGTTATTACTTTAAGGTATATTTTAAAAACAAGAATTTTCTTGCACTTATGTGTTTTTTATCGATTTTATTCGTAATATTTAAACAAAGCTCAGTTTTACATTTATTTCTGTATTGAAATAGGGAAAACAAAATAAAGCTGGTAAAAGTAGAGAAAATTTCCTTTCCAACAAGCCCTTATAGGCCTTCTTACGCTCAGTATTTTCTTAATTACGATAATTTGAATTTGTGACCTTTGCATAGTTTTTATGGAAAAATCGGTCAATATTTACATGTAACGTCAAGGTCGCATCTTACTCGAAACAACAAATTCTTTTATAAGACTTTTTGGACCATTCAAATATATTTTTTACTGAACTAAATGCATAATACAAAAAAATAGATTTCAAAAAACAAATATATACTTTCGTTCTGCCTTTTGTGAAGTGAATGTTGATTTATTCATCTACATGTAATGATGTATATTTCATGAATATACATGTTGATAAAAATTGTAGATTTCCAAAACGTCGATCTTTACCAAAAAAAAAAATCAACCAGATTTTTAATATTGTTGTATCTTGTTATACTGTATACTTATTAATTTGCAATTTAATTAGATCTATATTTAACAATACAAAAACTCGCATTTATAAATAAATACGACTCATCACTGTATGAGTTGATACGAATATTGAAATAAACATGTGTTTCCGTTTTGCCCAGCCTTGGTGTAAACATGATGGTGATCCGAAATCTGAACGTCAATTTTCATGATTATTTCACGACGAAGATCATCACATCAATGAATCAAATAATACGGACATGCCTTTGGTATTAGCAGGTGAGAATACGTGTATATTGACTGAAAAGTTTAAGTTTAAAACGCAATAGTTCACGTTCAAAAGAAAACTAAATGTACACATGTACTAGATCTCTATGTTTCAGTGTGCGTGTTTCGTATCGTTCAGCCGCATTGCTTTTGAACTTTGATGCTTTTGACAATCACTCGTAAGTTCAAAGTAAAATCAAAGTTGTCATAATAATGGATAGTTGTTTTCAGTATCTATGTACCAGTGTGTACAGGTGTACATGTACCACTTTCACATTGAAATTTTAGGGTGCTTTCAGGATATGCAACAATGCTTTCATCTGTGAATACCCACTTTCTAAGCCCACCATGAACTACGAGCGGAAGGTCAATTAATTTGTAAGGACACAAATGAACAGGTAAATTTTTATTTTGGTATTGAAAATTTTATGTATTTCTAAAATTTAAAAAAAATAAAATCTTATTTCATTTGTGTCATTCTCATGATCGCATTCATACAAGTTTATAAACATTTGATTTATATTTTGAAAATTAAGTGTTTGAAACACATAATACTTATGATGGTTGATTATTCATACAGACACATTATTTAAACATGTAATATCTATCTGAATGAATGCCGAGATATGGAACAAACTGTTTTTATAGACTGCTGTTGTATTTCCAATCTGCATAAAGTGTGTGGTTAGAATTTCCATTTTTTCAAATTTTCAGACACTTTCCAATTATCCTACATCATATACATGGGTGGTCAAACTCACTGGATGGTTTATCAACACTTCCATGATCTTGCGCCAGGTATTTTGCCCTGAAGTAACATTGCAGTCTATTGTCTCATTTCTTTTTACAACCCTGGCAGCCATGCAGGTATGAAATCTATGAAAGCCATGAAGGGGCATAGAATTTTTGAAATTTATAAAAGTAAACGAGTTCTTGATTTATACAATCTGTTCTCTCGGATTAACAATATGTTATAACAAATTGCCAATTCATTCTCTCAGATTACCAATTCGTTCCCTCAAATTACACAGTCCGTTATCTTAGATTGTATAATTCATTCTTTTAGTTTAAATTATTCATTCCCTCAGAATGTAAACCCTTCTCATGATTTCGTTTAAATTATTTATCTGTACATGTCGGATATGGTAATACATGTTTAAAAAATAGAATATTGTAGTATTTTACATCCTAATTTTTATTATTTACATATTACGGTCCAAAATGAGAAAAATACATGAACATTTTCAAATCCATGTGCTAGTACTGATATTTGTACAACAAAAAATCTTAGAAGTTTTTGTGTTACTTGTATATTAGAATAATTGAAAGTCCTAGATAGTAAAAGTGAATATGGGTCCTGTGTAATCATAATATTTTTAAAATAAATATACGTTGAATTAGTTATGAAAGAGGTTGGAATTAACCGGTTGCTGAAACAAAATAAATAGAACGCACTTATTGATTAAAATGGTTGGATGTTTCTGTACATATATGTAATGAAATTAAAGAGCACAGATTTCAAAAATTATAAGACTGACGTTGTTACAAATCGAGATGTCAAATTATCAATCTGTGAAAACAAATTACCGGTATGTAATTCGAGATCTCAAATTATGAATCAAGGGGGCAAATTAGTAATCCTTAAGATCGGATTGTGTAATTCGAGATCTCATATTATAAATTGAGGGAAAAATTTAGTAATCCTTGGGATTAGATTGTCTAATTCGATTTGATATCTTTAATTACTTTTTTGAAAAATTTACGTGTCCCTTCCCGGCTTTCGTAGCGATCTAATACCATGATATTTTTTTACATGTTGCGATAGCGTAAACAGAGGTCTGGCTTTAGTCAGATTGCCATATATGCTATTTGTTTTAGTTCAGTAATTTTACCATGATGGTTTACTACAAGTTGTTAAATTATCAGTCCTGATACATTGACTTAACAATATCATTTAACTACTTGGATCACATAATGAATACAATTTTAATTTTAAAAGGAAAATCAAATAAATGTAGTAATTTTAGCATTCTTAATTTTATTTGTAAATATAAATTTATATATACAATGACATGTATCTGTTTCAAAATACTTAAATCTTTTACAGGATAGAAGCTGATCACTTGTACTTGACAGCAAATAATAATGTCTTGGACAAGTCAAAGAATTTCCTCCAGTCTTACAGAGAAATGACAGTTGATAAAAGAATGGTGGACACAAAGTAAAAGTGCTCTTCAACATTTTGTTGAAGATATCAGTCTGATTTTGAATTCATCTTGCAATATTTCTGTATTTGTATATTTGGATATAAGCGTCAAATTTTCAACTTATTGACTAAACAGTTTTGCATTAAATATTGCCAATGCTATTTTTATTATTTCCCTCCAAGATAACATGTCAAGTCTTTAATGTACCCCTTAAGCTCTGTTATACCAGAAAAATCTTGTAATGAAATCATTTAGTTTTTTTTTCTTGTTAAATTAAATCCATGAAAATAAAGATTATCTTTAATGTCATCAAGAGAATGGATTTCTTGTTTAACAAAAAGAAAGTATACATGTTTTGCTAGGGCTTTGTAAGAAGCAGACTAGAATTCTTTGCTTGCAAACTTTGTCATTCGCCATTTTTATTACGTCAACTATTAGATGATCTATCCATGTTTGAAGCATTTCAAAATTGATATTTACTTACAGTTTAAAGCAGAATTCTGTACTAATATGACCTTGACCTTCTGAAGAACAAGAGTGTCAAGGTCAATTTTTAATACAAAAATGTTCTTTCATCTTTATGGCCCATATCTTACAAGCAATATCATGAAATATACAAAAAGTGTCTAGAATTTGTCCAGAATGTGAAATAACAAACATGTATATAGACAAAAACTTTAAAATGATGTTGCTTAGCAACCACTTAAAGGTCATTAAACAGAAATTTGAACTAAAATGATGCATGGATATTGCAGTTCTGATCCCTTTTTGAGAGTATATTCAGAATTTTCCATTTCAGCATCCATTGTGTAAAATTATGGCAAGAATATTGAAAAGTGTTGAAAAAAATTGATGAAACTTTTGCACTTATTTGACCTTTGACCTCCTAAAATAGTTCTAATGAGGTCAAACTTTAAGACAATTTATCTGTTGTATGTCCCTTATAATTTTTTGACCTCACATCTAACTCTTTTTATGTGCTGGGATGCATAAATGTGTCTAGGATGAGTAAAAAATGAAAATTTCTGCCCGAAAATTAAAGAATTCTGCGTTGCTTAGCAACCCCTTTTAAGTAGTTATATGCTGAATTGAAAAAAAAGTTTATGTGTTTCATGTAGTACAGTATGATGCTCTTTTGTGGGTATATCCCAAATTTCCTATTTCAACATACATCATACTTAATATTTAGCTTAAAGATGAAAAAGTATCAAAAAGTTCCATAAAATATTGCACTTAATTGACCTTTGACCTCAATTTTTACTAATGAGGTCAGTGGTTGAGTATCTAAACAGTCATAAAAAATCATCTGTAAGAAATTTCCTACAAAATGGTATGCAATATGCTTAGCTTTCCCCTTGGATAAAAAAGTTAGAAATAATTAAATAATGTCATGTCAAAAGGCCTCCAAAATCACGTAAAATGCGCCGGAAGAGAAAGGGTTAATATAATGTTCAGCTTTTACTTAATTACATTTACAAGTAATCTGAAGGGCTCCATTGTTTTTAAGGTTACCTGAAGACTTTATCCCACACAATGGATATCCTTGTATACATAGGAGCCGTAAGATCCTCGTTAAAATTGACCGGTCCGTAGGTGGGGGACTGGAACACCCCGTGTCTCTGTACTGTGGCTCGGTACACACACCAATGTAACCCACCCGCCTGCTTGTTCTCCTTGTTCATCTGATAGGGATAAAAAAAAGTTTTTCTAACGAGAACAAAATGCATGCAAAGCAGTTATGATTTGGCACAGATGGGATTACTCTTATTTCCAGGAGTGATATCCCATTTTACAATGAAATCAAGAGGATAAATTCAATCAAAACGTCCATGGGCCACATCTCTCACTTGAATATTTTGGCTAAAAATGTCAAGTTGAAACAAGTTCAATATTGAAAAATTTAAATATTCAAAAGTGGTTTGGGGGAGGGTTGTAAGAACTGCTGTCTATAGCTAGCTGTCTACCTCCAAGTCAATTTTCAAAAGTTAACATATTTGAATGATATTTTCATAGATATTTAATATATAGATTTTCATAAAAAATTATTTCTTTGGGAAAAGAATGAGAGATAATTCCATAATTTTGGTAAAACTTGTCTTTTTTAACAATAGAAATCAACAGAAAATATTTTAAAAAATCAATTAGCTATAAGCATCAATTCATCATAAACATATAAGCTTTAAGCTTGTTTTACTGTTCTTAAAAAACAAACCCATATTAAATGTTAAACTGATGATTACCGGTGATCCCCATTTCGCTGCTTGTTCATTGGCTTTCATGGAGGCTAGGGTGATGCCCTCCCCTAACTTAGGTCGGATCTGATTGGAGAATGCCTTCTCCATCTCCAGCTGTAGGTCTCGTATCAACCAATCAAACTTCTGTGACAGGTGTTGTGTCCTCTGCTCAATGGCACTTTGTGATTTCTTTCTTTCTCCCTTTGTCTATAATTTAAAAGGCAAAACTATAAAACTTTAACAGCTATATGTTTGAATAATGTAGGGAAAAATTTAGAAATAGAAATAACTTTATTAGAACAACACATTCTTAAATTTAATTCTTGTAATTTAAATATTTACATTCCCTGTGTTTTTCTACTAAACAAACACTAGCAGGCTTCGTGAAATATGCCTACGTGACAAGTCTGTGTGATTTACAGACCAACAACTCACACAAACTAGAAAACTGACCAGTCAGCAAGGGCCCCGCCATGGGGTAGAATTAATAGGGTGCAGCTTACGGAATGATTAAAAAATGTACGAAGAATAAGCAACAGCAACTGTATTCTTAAAATTTCAAGATAATTCCTGAATATTCAAAAACCTGAAAATAATATCCTTGTACGAGGGTTGATCCAAAAGTAATGTCACTGTGTCCATATCTTTAATATTTGGCGTCATATTATCAAATATAATGCACCAAAAGATGCATAAACATAGATCTAATCAAAATTAAAAATTTCATTTAATAATGTTCAATTGAATTCATTTTATAGATATTTAAACATTAAACATTGGGGGGTGTCGCCGCGTCACAACTAAATGTCACGTTTTAAAGTAAATATTGTTAGAATGAAAAAAGACAAACACATTTAAAAAATTATTATTAAAAAATCGTCTAACCGTCCAATATTTTAAAAGACAAAATTTACGACATTTTCTAATTTTTAGTTAAAAATTTAATGGCAGCATTGTTTTTTTTTTCATCATAAACAGTATTGTTTATATCTGATGTATTGCAGAAAGGAAATGTCGAAATGGAATGAAACACCAAAACGAGTTGTAATGCATTTTTCCTTCAAAATTGGGAAATCACAAGTAGAAACAGTTATGATGGTAAATCAAACTCGCAGAGGAAAGAATGTTAACGAGAGACTTGTTCATAGATGGTTTCAGCGATTTTGGGTGGGTAATAGGTAAATAAATGATCATTTGGGGACAGAAATACTGAAAGATAGGAGGTCGGGTGGAAACGTTCAATGATGTTGACGTTGTCGTAAAAGAGATTAGTGGCAGTTTGAGTGATATGAGACACTTTTAAGTTTGTCTTATGGTATTGTTCAAAGAATTTAGATGAAGGATTAAATTATAAATAAAGTGTACAATTGGTGCCAATTGTTCTTAAAGAAAATAAAATATGTGAATGTTTTGTGAATATAATTTTTTTAATAAAAAGATGAGAAGGCGTTTTTAAAAGTGTGTGACGATGCATATCCGTTTTATGACGTTATTAAGGTGCGGCGACTACCATAATCGCACTCTGTGTTTAATTCAATATTTTGAAAAGTATAAGTCATTTTAATTTGAATTTTTCAGGACTGATTTAAATTACGTATACCTTCCATCATGTAAAATTTTGTTAATTTACGTCAACTAGGAGAAATTTTATCGAAGTTGTGACATTACTTTTGGATCAACCCTCGTATTTACATTAGGCAGTAAAGAACAACTTAACACTGAATGTATATTTAAACAATTATGAAGCTTGTGTTATATAAAATGCCAGCCTTCAATGAATGCAAATATCATGAAGGCTTGACCTTAACTTCAAACAAACAGCAGTTGCAGACAAAGGTTTTCATTAATCTTAAAGTGACAGATAAAGAAAAGCCTACTAAATTTTCTGAAGCAGGCTAGATAATTAATCCCAAGGGATTAATTCTACTCTCATCATTTTCTTCTAAAGTTACATTAACAGACCTGTTTACCCATAACGCTGTCTCTCAGTATTTTTTATTAAATTTGTCCGTGAGATTTTGCATTTGCCAGTAAGATTTCACTTTCCATCAATTTTACATATATTAAGAGAGAAAAACTGCTTTTGTGATTACAAAAGCATGGTGTAACAACAAGGTCTTTGCCATTTCATAATACCACAGCGTTTTGGCAAACTGACATTGCTCATGTGTTTGAAATCTTCCTCTTATTTAGCGATAAAAAGGTTGATACTAAGACAGATCATAACGAAAACTAACTGCTAAATTCCAAACGAACGTATTTCCGATTTCCGTATTTTCATAATAGCAAAACGTGAGACGTATTTTAGACTAAAAATCCGTACAAAATACGGCGAAATCGTAAGAGTAAACAGGTCTGCATTAAGAACTTTTTCAGTATTAATGATAGAATGGGGTTTTTATACAACTATCCTAAAAATTAATAATATTCTTGAATTAACGAATTAAAGTGAAAAAAGTAAATCAAAAAATCTTCTTTAATCTATTTTTTGTTATTAGAATTCAATGAAATCATAACTATTAAACAAAAATAAATTATAAAAATTTATATTTAAATCCACATTTCAGAGTGTTCATAGCATTCCAAATTGATTTAACTTCAAAACAAACTTCATTTGCAGACAGAGGTGGTAATTCATCTCAATTTGACAGATAAAGATAATGCTTTGGATTTTCTTCAGGAGGAAAGCTAATGAATCCCAAGGGACTCATAGCAGCATTCAGTTTACAATGGGAACATCTTCAGCAGTTACCTCTCTTTGCCAATGCCTTTGTATATAAAGTTAAGGAATGTACCCCACCACCCCAGCTCCAAACCAGGGGAAATAGAGAACCAAACTTAGCATCAAAATATGTATTTCTGCCTACTGAACTACCATACCAAATTTTTACTTGTTTTGGCAACCATAAAAAAAAGTTGCCCATTCATTCTTATGCATAGTTAAGGAATCTACCCACAACCCCAGCTCCAAACCAGAAGACATGAGAGAACCAAACTTAGCATCAAAATATGTATTTCTGCCTACTGAACTACCATACCAAATTTGAACTTGATTGGGCAACCATAAAAAAAAGTTATTAGAAAATAACAGAAAATTTGTGGACGGAAGAGTGACAGACGGACAGACAGACAGCTAGACAGACGGACGGACAGTGATTACTATAGGGCACCCACAAATCCTTGCGGGGCCCTAATTAAAAACATTCCTTAATTGAAATTTGGCATTTTCTGTTTGGGATTAATTATAAACAAAGCAATTTAAGCCAGTAATGATGAAATTAAGTTATAAGCAATACACTGTATCCACTCAAGAAACTTAGATTTATCGAATTAATTTTTATCTTTGACAGATTGTAACCTGGATGATTCCGTCCTCAATAAGGTAGTTCTGTATGTCAAACACAAACTGAGCCACCCTCTGTAGAATTCTCTCTACACTGCCGCGGTGTC